TAAAGGCATTGCTTAAAATGTATCTATTTTAGTCCATTTACTAAATACATGTAAATTGCTGTATAACGCATTCGTTTTTAGTCGAATTCATAAATTAATTTATAAAATCGTAATTGAGTTTTAGTCAAAATCATATACAATGCTGTAAAACGTAACTGCTTTAGCCCATTTTCTTGATACATAGTGTACATGAAAATTGCTGTAAAATGGAAACATTGATAAATTGCTGTAACTAAATACACTGCATAAAATGTAACTATTTTAGTCCAATTCCTTTATTCCTGTAAATTACATGTTAAACGCAACCGTGTTTAGTTCTTTTCATTATTATATTGTTTAAAACGTAATTTCGTTTTGTTTTTAGTTCAAATCATATAAATATTGCTGTAACAAATCTGTTTTTAATCCCATGCATTAATACATTGCTGTAAAATACTTTTTTAGCCCCGTTCATTAACAAGTTGCTGTATAAAGTTAACTGGTTTTATTCCAATTAATTAATGGAAATAATTATTTGCTGTAAAAACATTACTGTAACATATAGAAGTAATGGACGTTCAGTTATGGGACTGATGTAAGCTATAGTAGATATAGAAGTTATGTAACCTGTATCAGATTTGAGACTGATGTAAGCTATAGTAGATATACAAGTTATGTAACCTGTATCAGTTTTGTGACTGATGTAAGCTATAGTAGATATATAAGTTATGTACCCTGTATCAGTTATGGGACTGATGTAAGATATAGTAGATATAGAAGTTATGTAAACTGTATCCGTTATGGGACTGATGTAAGCTATAGTACATATAGAAGTTATGTAACCTGTATCAGTTTTGGGGCTGATGTAAGCTATAGTAGATATAGAAGCTATGTAACCTATATCAGTTATGGGACCGATGTAAGCTATAGTAGATATAGAATTTATGTAACCTGTATCAGTTATGGGCCTTATGTAAGCTATAGTAGATATAAAAGTTATGTAACCTGTATCAGTTATAGGACTGATGTAAGCTATAGTAGATATAGAATTTATGTAACCTGTATCAGTTATGGGACTGATATAAGCTATAGTCGATATAGAAGTTATGTAACCTGTATCAGATTTGAGACTGATGTAAGCTATAGTAGATATATAAGTTATGTACCCTGTATCAGTTATGGGACTGATGTAATCTATAGTAGATATAGAAGTTATGTAACCTTTATCAGTTATGGGACTTATGTAAGCTATAGTAGATATAAAAGTTATGTAACCTGTATCAGTTATAGGACTGATGTAAGCTATAGTAGACATAGAAGTTATGTAACCTGTATCAGTTTCGGGACTGATGTAAGCTATAATAGCTATAGAAGTTATGTAACCTGTATCAGTTTCGGGGCTGATGTAAGCTATAATAGCTATAGAAGTTATGTATCCTGTATCAGTTATAGGACTGATGTAAGCTATAGTAGACATAGAAGTTATGTAACCTGTATCAGTTTCGGGGCTGATGTAAGCTATAATAGCTATAGAAGTTATGTAACCTGTATCAGCTCTGGGCCCGCTGTAAGCTATAGTAGATATAGAAGTTAAGTAGCCTGTACCAGTTATGGGACTGATGTGAGCTATAGTAGATATAGAAGTTATGTAACCTTTATCAGTTTTGGGACTGATGTAAGCGATAGTAGATATAGAAGTTATGTAACCTTTATCAGTTTTGGGACTGATGTAAGCGATAGTAGATATAGAAGTTATGTAACCTTTATCAGTTATGGGACTTATGTAAGCTATAGTAGATATAGAAGTGATGTAACCTGTATCAGTTATGGGACTGATATAAGCTATAGTCGATATAGAAGTTATGTAACCTGTATCAGTTTCGGGGCTGATGTAAGCTATAATAGCTATAGAAGTTATGTAACCTGTATCAGTTTCGGGACTGATGTAAGCTATAATAGCTATAGAAGTTATGTAACCTGTATCAGTTTCGGGGCTGATGTAAGCTATAATAGCTATAGAAGTTATGTAACCTGTATCAGTTTTGGGACTTATGTAAGCTATAGTAGATATAGAAGCTATGTAACCTATATCAGTTATGGGACCGATGTAAGCTATAGTAGATATAGAAGTGATGTAACCTGTATCAGTTATGGGACTGATATAAGCTATAGTAGATATATAAGTTATGTACCCTGTATCAGTTATGGGACTGATGTAAGATATAGTAGATATAGAAGTTATGTAACCTATATCAGTTATGGGACCGATGTAAGCTATAGTAGATATAGAATTTATGTAACCTGTATCAGTTATGGGACTGATATAAGCTATAGTATATATAGAAGTTATGTAACCTGTATCCGTTATGGGACTGATGTAAGCTATAGAAGATATAGAAGTTATGTAACCTATATCAGTTATGGGACCGATGTAAGCTATAGTAGATATAGAATTTATGTAACCTGTATCAGTTATGGGCCTTATGTAAGCTATAGTAGATATAAAAGTTATGTAACCTGTATCAGTTATAGGACTGATGTAAGCTATAGTAGACATAGAAGTTATGTAACCTGTATCAGTTTCGGGACTGATGTAAGCTATAATAGCTATAGAAGTTATGTAACCTGTATCCGTTATGGGACTGATGTAAGCTATAGTACATATAGAAGTTATGTAACCTGTATCAGATTTGAGACTGATGTAAGCTATAGTAGATATACAAGTTATGTAACCTGTATCAGTTTTGTGACTGATGTAAGCTATAGTAGATATACAAGTTATGTAACCTGTATCAGTTTTGGGACTGATGTAAGCGATAGTAGATATAGAAGTTATGTAACCTTTATCAGTTTTGGGACTGATGTAAGCGATAGTAGATATAGAAGTTATGTAACCTTTATCAGTTTTGGGACTGATGTAAGCTATAGTAGATATACAAGTTATGTAACCTGTATCAGTTTTGGGACTGATATAAGCTATAGTAGATATATAAGTTATGTACCCTGTATCAGTTATGGGACTGATGTAAGATATAGTAGATATAGAAGTTATGTAACCTTTATCAGTTATGGGACTTATGTAAGCTATAGTAGATATAGAAGCTATGTAACCTATATCAGTTATGGGACCGATGTAAGCTATAGTAGATATAGAAGCTATGTAACCTATATCAGTTATGGGACTGATATAAGCTATAGTATATATAGAAGTTATGTAACCTGTATTAGTTATGGGACTGATGTAAGCTATAGTACATATAGAAGTTATGTAACCTGTATCAGCTCTGGGCCCGCTGTAAGCTATAGTAGATATAGAAGTTAAGTAGCCTGTACCAGTTATGGGACTGATGTGAGCTATAGTAGATATAGAAGTTATGTAACCTGTATCAGTTTCGGGACTGATGTAAGCTATAATAGCTATAGAAGTTATGTAACCTGTATCAGTTATGGGACTGATGTAAGCTTTAGTAGATATAGAAGTATGCTTACCAGTTTAGAAAAAATGCGATCGGTCATTGTAATTCTAAGTTCCGTGTATTAATACGATGATGTGAAAAGTATTTTTTATTTGTCTCGTTTATTTATAAATTTCTGTAGATTAACACTTTTTTCAGTATGAGTTGAAAGCCTTTTAAAATGTCAGTATACATGTACCAAGAATCTTTGTACCGGGAATACCTAAATACATATGTACATGTACAAACTTTACGTTTTCCTTACAACACACAAGGACGTATCTTTTGTTTGGTTATTTTTTGTTATTATTAAGCGATTTTCTTCATTTTTTATTTATTTGTTATCATTTTCTAACGTCATGCAACAATTAATCGTTTAATAAAAGAAAACAAATATGATGTACAAATATAAAATTAGTATTAAACATGATTTTGAAATACTAAGGACAGTCTATGCATTGTCATTTTGATTAAGTTATACATAAGACACTTTCTATACAAAATACAAAATAAAAATGTATTGAAATCGTATTCAATTTCAAAATGAATTTCCTCGCATAAAGCCTCGATATATTGGGATATCAGTAATATCGAAATATCAGATAGAAATGCACGTGATGTTTTATTACATGTATTTTTATGTATAAATATTCTATATTAAAAATCAATTCAATTTGTGAACAAAAAGTAAACCTTGGGAATCACAGAGCTGATATATTTGATTGACACAAAATACACTCTTCATTATTTAAAAAATGTTAGATCGTTGATAAAGATAAGAATATAAACAGATTATGTTTTGTAATAATAAATATTTCTGGTGTCCGTGTCAAGATTTCTATAAAAAAACTCCATGTTAACGTTTATGACCAGGTCAAACAGCCTGTCATAGCAATGTCTGACAATCCAATGTATAGATTTCTTAATAAATTGTAATCATGGTCTTGTTTTATTGGTGTCAGTGAAGTAATTATCCATGTATACACTATTTATCGGGCGAGTATCTGATATTTTATGACTCTCTAACAAAACCAATGATCGTTAATGGCAATCGGGCGAACAAGACCCGCAGCCAATCTGTGATGAAATGAAAAGATAATTGCTCAGGTAAGCAGCAATGGTAGCGAAATGATAAATTCATATTTCTAAATTGAGCCAATATATATCTTATCTGAAATCAATCCGGCGGTTAATATGTGTGTGTACATCTATCACAGGGTAGCTGTCCCCCGGGGGTCGGGCGACTTGAGCCACACCGGGGACTGTAAGCCGTGCCTATTGTTGACCACTACCCGACGGTGCCTGCCACTGGCCATTGTCCGTACACATATTGCAATCCTGTTCTATTCTGTCCGACACCTGTTTTTAGCCCCTCAAGCCAATCTGATGATAAATCCAGATTTATTCTGATGTCCTATACATGTAATCTATCGCTCCATCACCGATACTCGAAATCAACCAATCAGAAAGCCCGGATGCAGAACTGAAATCATAGGGTTGCCTAGAGAGCGCGTGCGAGTTAATTTACCATGTCGGTTTAGCTATAAATACAGATCAGCCCAAAAATTTGACAAAACAATCCATGTCAACGAACCAGTGTTAGTCAACAAACCAAGTGTGAAGATAAGCTTTAAAGGTCGTACCTAAGCTTAACTTCTAGTTAACTGGATATTTAAAAAAAAAACTGTGTGAGACATTTTCTGTGGATTTATTTACATGTTTGTTGGATTTTAACTTATCTAAGACGATGTCTCTGGGAAAGGAAAGTCCTCATTTGATGACCGCCGCAGCTCGACCAGAACACATGGTATGTAAATCACCACAAAGTTCTATATAAATAGTACTTTAATTAATTCATGAAATTAACATTAATAACAAAATTCTTATTTTAGAGAAAAAATAACTTTTAAAATAACTTTAATATCCATGCACGTAGAAAATCAGTATTGGACAAAACTATAAAGTGTATAATAATTTTAATAAAAACAAGAACCTTTTAATGATTGATTGACATAATTGTGTAATCGTGTGTAACCCCTTTACTCTGTATCCCTACAGGTATGTTCTGAACCACTGTGTCCCACATCAGCAGATCCATTCACAGGCAGGATCTTCTGTCGGTGTTACCAAAGTCTCGAGTCCCGGGACAGCATCGGGATACCACACATGTCCAGCCCCTCCCCACAGACGCCCTATCACGGGATGTACCCCCCTCAGTATGGCCTAGACGCCGCCTCTCCTGTCACAAACCCACTCGTCTCTCATGTCACAAACCCACTGGTAAGCACTGATTCTATTAATAATAGGAATATGTATTTCTATTTTATTTTTAAATCACTGGCATCACACTTTGGAGATATAATAACTCATCAATGGTGTTGTTTTTATATGTTAGCTTTTTAAAATTTAGGATTAGACTCTGATACTTTTTATTTATCCTCTGATCTTTGATTGTTATGATGATCTCACTGCTAAGTATCTCTATTGAATTACGATAAACATTTGATGCACTAGTAACAGTTCATATAATATACTTTGTAACAATTGATTTATTTAGAATTTGTTGTTTACTACAAAGCGTTCTTTTATCATTCCAGGCTCATGGTGGTCGATGGGATCCATCCATGTTTTCTACTTCCGGTTATTCCTCCCCGTTTCCGGCTGGTACAAGTGTCCCACAAATGGAAAATGTGCTCCGTTCTCAGATGTACAATTACATGTAAGTTTAAAACCTATTAATACGTTTCATATGCATGCCAAATAAGCGACTTTTGCCTGGATCAGTGTCATTCAAAACAAATGTTGAAGCTCGGGGTACAGTGCATAATATATTGTGTAGTATTGATTTTCATTTTTATAAAATTTGAGTAATTGACTGAAAACAATAAAAATTGATAGATACATGTAAATAGATATTGAGACGTTCCTTCAATGTTGTATGTCTATCCCCAGGTACCCTGCTATGTTTGACCTCAGTGGAGCCCGTCGTAAGAACGCCACCCGGGAAACTACTAGCGCTCTCAAAGCCTGGCTAGTTGAGCACAAAAAGAATCCCTACCCAACTAAGGCCGAGAAAATCATGCTGGCCATCGTCACCAAAATGACCTTGACTCAGGTGTCCACATGGTTTGCGAACGCCAGAAGGAGGCTGAAGAAGGAGACGAAAGGTGATTGGTCATTGGACAGCAGTTTGGACACTTCGACCATGTCCAGTGATGAAGAAGAACGGTCAAGCGATGATCAGGAGTCTAAAGACGAGCTTGCACAAAGACTTGGTCAAGGTAGGCAGCGCTACGTGGTGAAAACTAACTCATTCTGGAAATAAGTTTCTTAAAACTTTACATATCTATATTAAATATCAATGTTATGAAATGTTGATACATTTTACTGCTTAAAACAGAATAACATAAATGCGAAACCAATGTATTTGACTACTACATGTATTTATTATGTATTGTTGTAGGAAGCACGGTGATACCTAGTAATTAAGCTATTTTACTGAATGCTAAACATTGTTCTTCTTTACTTGCAGTTCCTGAAATATCCAAAAATCAAATGAGGCCCAACATGATGACCTTTCAACCCGCTAACATCGGACCCGAAACTCTACCCAGCTTCGCTTCATTCACGAATGCAAAGCTTCACGATACGAACGGTTCGTCAAGTCCTGTAATGACAGGACAAGTCCCAAATGTGTACCCGAACAGCCACTTTTTCCAGTCTGGACATTCTCACACGCCTCATGAATATTCAGTGATGACCCAAAGTCAAGAGTTTGGACATTTTCAAATGAAACAGGAAGACAACACGTCCGCGTCAGGCAGTGACGACTCGGACAAGGAGAACACAGACTTATCAAAAACCAGTATTTCTCCCCGTACGAGTCCCGACCTGCCCAAGTCTCGAATCTGGTCCATCTCTGACATTATGGGAGGTAAAAACACACAGAAAATCGAAAATACTGTGAAGAAAGTCGGTCTGTCCACAGAGAATATCACCGCCTCGTGATGTAGTGGTCAGTGTATTGGCTTGACGAAGGAATTGGGATTTTGTTTAATCGTAACAGTGACGATCGATTACATTAACTATACAGGAATGTGTTTCCTCCATACTTGTTTTGCCTGTTACATTTTATACGCATGTTTTGTTGAATATTAGTGAAATATTATTGCCAAACGTATATTCCTGATCCACCAAATAAATTATTAATTTTATATTTGTGTTTTCTTGTTCATTGTATATGTTTATTGGGTTCAGATCTGCACAGAGGGAGACGGATATTATCGGTATCTTTCGGAATAGCTACGTATATTTGTATATAGAAAAAAACTATTCTCCTATTATCACACTGACACGAATCAGAACTAATTTATATATGGGACACTAATAAAAAAAATATAAGCAGGTAAGAATATTAAAACAACGAAAACTAGTTTTGTGACACTGTTGAGCTAAAAAAAGTTAAATTGAACAAACTAAAAGCAAACTCCGACAATTATATTTTAATACTTTTCATGAATGTTAATGGCGTTTGGGTTAATAGAAAAACATGTATCTCTCAAAGAATGAGAAATAACAGTCTGAAACATCTCAATATACATTACAATGTAATAATGATTTGTAATATATTCAAATGTACAAGGTATAATTGTACATACTTTATAACGTTTCAAATATCTGATTTCCTTGAAGAGTTTTCATATCTATAAATATGATAACAATAGTCTTATCATTTCTTTCAAATTTACGAGATATTGATGTTTTTAATAACATTCACCAAAACAGTACATGCACGAACTCCGGGAGCATCCCTCCAGTCAATAACAATTTCATTTAATTCGACGTCAGCCAGTCAAGATGTAAATATTAATAGGTTCCTCTTTCAAAAATCGCAGAATCTCCTCGACTCCCACAGGAACCAGCCGGAGAGTACAAGTAAGTCCTAGACTCCCACAGGAACCAGCCGGAGAGTACAAGTAAGGACTGTGTGCTCGCCTGTTGTTTCCTGAATGTGTGTTCTTTGTTACGTTTCATGCGTCATCTCCATAGTCATGCTATCCTCCTACAGAAATGAATCAAAACTGGATTAAAACCTGACAACAGCTTTGATATATAGCAATCTAAATGCCTTATCAGCCATAAATTACATCTGTATCGGCTGTTGGCTGCACAAGGGTCGTGCCATTTCTTTGTGTGATCAGTAGACTTTTCAAAAATAGCGATAAAAGATGTGCCTGGTCAACAATGTGGTAAGTTCGACAAAATGGACTTTTCAGAAATACTATCGATATTTGAAAAAATTAACGCTTTATCACTTTTAGATTAAAGAAGAGTAAGAGTAAAATGTTGCCGAATACCATGAGTGTGTACACGCTCCCTATTCTTTTGTGAACTGATTTGTCCGAAATTATAATTATTGTCAGTTTCTCTTAATTATGATTATACAATTAAAATAATTAAAAAAAACAATAGGACTTGTGTCTCAATGATTATGTCATTGTTTCGTACGTGGTGCGCGATAAGTGGACAGAGGCAAGTGTCCAGTAGCTGACCAATTAGACACTCGGACACTGCCCCCGGGTCAGTCCCTTCCTCTACCAAGTCAGTGGAATTGAGATTAACGATAAAACGAAACGTAATATTTAGTTCTTATTGCAATTCAGGTTGGTCTGTTAGCTGTCATTCCTTGTCTTATGTCTCGTGATCAGCCAGAGGATGAGATACTACAGGATAATACCTTAATGTGATACCGCCTCTCACGACCTGTCGAAGAAAATATTTGGATTCACGATATAGCACAAATCCGGCTAAAATCATACCCGTGGTTTTCATATACGTACAATATTTAAATCAGTTTAATAAAACATTATTTTATTTAGAAATATAAAATTTAAGTTTAACTGAATAGTCTTTTTTTTTTTATTATCAAGAACGTCTGGTATGTTGCTCAAATCCTTTATTTCTTATATGGCGTCGTTTATACATTTGTAATCAACTTCGTGATGTCGTTGGAACAGGGACCTGAACAGTTTTTACATCTATATACATGTATGTATATTTGGACATAAACTGAGGTGTTAGAGGTTAGAGGTTTAAATAAATTTCCGGTAAAGTTTCACCCCCAGTGATGCATGATACAGTATGTATGTGGCCGTAGGAGCACGGTCTGTCACTGAAGTCACTGGGGTTCATATGCAAATGGCAAATTTGTGGAAATATTCAATTCACAATATTGTGTTTATCACACGATATTGGGTTAGCCAGTACAATATTCTGTTTATCACACGATACTGGGATGAGCCAGTACACTATTCTGTTTATCACACGATACTGAGATGAGCCAGTACACTATTCTGTTTATCACACGATACTAGGATTAGCCAGTACACTATTCTGTTTATCACACGATACTGGTATTAGCCAGTACACTATTCTGTTTATCACACGATACTGGGATGAGCCAGTACACTGCTCTGTTTATCACACGATACTGGGATGAGCCAGTACACTATTCTGTTTATCACACGATACTGAGATGAGCCAGTACACTATTCTGTTTATCACACGATACTGGTATTAGCCAGTACACTATTCTGTTTATCACACGATATTGGGTTAGCCAGTACAATATTCTGTTTATCACCCGATATTGGGATCAGCCAGTACAATATTCTGTTTATCACACGATATTGGGATTAGCCAGTACACTATTCTGTTTATCACACGATATTGGGTTAGCCAGTACAATATTCTGTTTATCCCACGATACTGGGATTAGCCAGTACACTATTCTGTTTATCACACGATACTGGGATGAGCCCGTACACTACTCTGTTTATCACACGATACTGGGATGAGCCAGTACACTATTCTGTTTATCACACGATACTGGTATTAGCCAGTACACTATTCTGTTTATCACACGATACTGGGCTGAGCCAGTACAATATTCTGTTTATCACACGATACTGGGATGAGCCCGTACACTACTCTGTTTATCACACGATACTGGGATGAGCCAGTACACTGCTCTGTTTATCACACGATACTGGGATGAGCCAGTACACTATTCTGTTTATCACACGATACTGAGATGAGCCAGTACACTATTCTGTTTATCACACGATACTGGTATTAGCCAGTACACTATTCTGTTTATCACACGATACTGGGATGAGCCAGTACACTGCTCTGTTTATCACACGATACTGAGATAAGCTAGTCCAGTACAATATTGTCTTTATTAGACGACAACTGTTCGCGGCTTCCATTTTCATAAATACCAAGAAATTAAGAACTCAAAACTAACTGCTTAGGACATGCCAAAGTACGTTTACGAACAATACATGTGTGGCATTTTTGTAATAACTTTGTTAGTAGCATATCACGATATCGTCATGCATATTGTTTGTACATTTTTCAAAAATTCACAGCTCATATAATACTTGTATGTATATCACAGACGGACATTTAAATGTGTAACTTAAAAGATAACTGTATCAATATCATGCATGAAAGTGAAGATTATAGATTTGTGTTGATAAATTAAGACAATGATCGGGAAAATACAAATATAACGCTGACGTAATCGTTGTTAAAGTTGCTGATCGGGTTAATTATTAAAAAGTTTAGTTCCCGAAGGCGTAAAGTGATGCAAATAGATGATACGCGCCTTTGTTTACCTGTGTAAACGTTCGTATAGATACGTCTGTTACAGTAAACAAGAACGTAAATACAAGCAGGGTTTATTTTACTCAAAAGATTTCAGCGTTAGATGTTTACCGAATAGAGAAATATTTGTGGAGAATTTTTTTGTCTGCCCCAGGTATTATAATATAGAACTGAACATGCCGTTCCGAGTGTCGATGAAATGAGCCTTGGGCTGGTTGGAACTGAAACACTGAAGTGTCTTGTTAGCGTTATATGCTGCAGGTGAAAAGTATCTATGCGATTTCCTAGGATTTCCCTAGAGGTAAAGTCAAGATAACTATTTGATAACGCGATACATGATATTGCACATGTTTATAGTTTTAATCTTGGCGGAAGCTTGATAATACCGAGAGGAAACTATCGCAGAAAACCCCTATTTCTATTATATGGCAGTTACTTTTGGCCTCGGACGTTTTCACGGATCACACTCAATAGCTAGTGTTAGCTATGAAAACGAGTGAATGCGCTTAAAGGGAATATATTTCTCGCCATGAAATATTTCGAAAACCAATGTTGTTTTTATTCGTGGTCTATTAAAATTTGTTCGATGGAGGATATGTTCTCGCTTCATAAAACGTTCTTTTTTCTATTGTTTTTATTTTTCTAGAATAATAGAATTGATCCGCGCTCAAAAGGTCTTGGATGGCGGCTTATAAAATAGGATAGAGATTAATTGACTCATTCCGGTTAGCACGTCCTTTATTTGTTCTCATTCTCGTTTGTGAATTTTCAAAAGTTATAAAATACATCGGCTAAATTAACTAACTACAGTAAATACAATAATTGATGGTGATTTGAGGAATCACTATTTCTCTTCTATTCATTTCCTACACCACATGTGGTACCCGTCATATCAACGTCTGTAACCAACATGAAAATTGCCCTATAGTGTGACCAGTAACATAACGGAACGTCATGTTAACATTTATTTTCATTTCAATATTTGTAATGTCTTGTGAAACATTTGTATTCAGAAAGACATTATGGAAAAATCGTATAAACAAAAAATTTAAAAATGTTAAGTAGTATTCTGTTCTAACATGACCTATCCCACAATAACAAATTTCTATAAACGATACATTTTTGAATTCGGGATAATGCTGCTGGATCGAGAGAAATCTGGCCATGTGTAGGTACAGTTATGTGTGTTCCTTACCAGACTCTGACTGAGCAAGTAATCTGTACGTGGAATTGCAGAATTAATGACAAATATTTTATGTTGAAAGACAGTCATGAAATGTCTTTCAGACAGAAAGATTTGCGTTAATAAAAGAATCAACAAACATTAGATTCCCTGATTACCACCATTACAATACTACTACAGTGTACATTATTTACTACAACTAACAAACAGGCGTAAATGGTCGACATTTGTATTATCAGCATTAGGGAAGCATCTCTATCATCAGCATGAGAGAAACATTTCTATTATCAGCGCGAGGAAAACATATTTAGTATCATCATGAGGGAAACATCTCTATTATCAGCATGTGAAAAACATTTC